AGGAGGGGCAGAGAGGCTGCTTTTGTCTGTTCGCCAGCCTGTTGCTGGCAGGGAGGTGGGGGGGGCAGCGGGCGTGGGGAGGCACTTTTCCTCTGCCCGGCAGCTCTGCGGGACCCCAGTCGGAGCCGGCCCGAGGAGGAGGAGGATCCTAGGACCCAGGTGAGCGAGCCCCGGGAATGCTGCTGCGCATGTGCGGGAGTTGCCTCACCCCGGTTCGTTCGTATCTAGGGATCCAACATAAGTCGGATCCACGTAAGTCGGGGACTGCCTGCAGTTTTTTTTGGGATGAGGCGACCACATCTGCACGCAGTACTCAAGAAGTGGACGTACCATGGTTTTGTATAGAGGCAATAAGGTACTTTCTGTCTTATTCTCAATCCCTTTTTTAATGGCTCCTAACATGCTATTTTCTTTTTTTACTGGTATGTTTTCAGAGAACCATCCACAATGATTCCATGGTCTCTCGAATAGTTGTAGCCAAATTAGTCCCCACCATATTGTATGCATAGCGGGATTACGTTTTCCAGTGTGCATTACTTTACATTTATCAAGACTGAATTTCATTTCCCATTTTGTGGCCCAATCACTGAGTTTGGTGAGATCTTTTTGAAGCTCTTCACAGTCTGCTTTGGTCTGAACTACCTTGAGCACTTTAGTATCACGTGCAAATGTTGCCACCTCCCTGTTTCCCCCTTTCTCCAGATCATTTATAAATAAGTTGCATAGGACTGGTCCCAGGACAGACCTTGAGGGACCCCACTCAATACCTCTCTCCACTCAGAAAACTGACCATTTATTCCTACCCTTTGTTTCCTGACTTTTAACCAGTTGTCAATGCATGAAGGGACCTTCCCTCTTATCCCATGACAACTTACTTTACTGAAGAGTCTTTGGTGAGGAACCTTGTCAGAGGCTTTCTGGAAATCTAATTCAATTCCTGATTGAATTTACCTCGTTATCTCCAGCCTGATTCTTGCCTGCGTATTTATACCTGCCTCTGGATATTTCCACTACATGCATCTGACCAAGTGGGTCTTTGCCCACAAAAGCTTCTGCTCCAACAGATCTGTTGGTCTATAAGGTGCCACAGGACTCCTTGTCGCTTTTGCAGATCCAGACTAACAGGGCGACCCCTCTGACACTGGAAATCTAAGTACACAATAGCCACTGGATCCCCCTTGTCCACGTTTGTTGACTGAGACCCCCCAGAGTCTGTCCTGAGAACAGTTCCAGCCCGGGCAAGGCAGCTCATCCGGGTTGGGCTACAGGGGGCCACCTGGCTCATGGCTCTGCAGAATCAGACACGAGCACTGCTGCCTCCCAGGGCGTGGGCACCCCAAGGGAGGGGCTGGCAGGGAGCACAGGCAGTGACAGGCTCCTGCTGGGGGACCCAAAGGAACCCAGCCCTCGCTGCCCCGTGGCGCACTCACCCCGGAGAGTGGGGAGCGCAGGTACTCCTCCTCCATCTGCACCTGCACCTCTGCGATGGACGTGTACTTGTGCTGCGCAGGGAGCGGGGAGGTTAATGCCAGCGCACAGTGATCCCCCCAGCCCACACCCCAGACCCCTGCAGCCTGCACCATCCCATCTGCCTGCCCTGTGCGGTTTGCTACCACATCACAAGGGGTTCACTCCAACAGGCAAGTGAGTGGGCCTGTCGGGAAACCCTCCACTGGCCTTTCTGGCCCAAGGAGCCCTGCTCCTCAGAGAGCCGGCTCAGCAAGCCATCCCCAGGGGAAGGAACTTGGGGGGGCAGAGGGCAGCCCTGGGAGAACAGGGGAGAGGGCAGGTGGGGGCCCGGCCCAGGCACAGCCGCTAGGTGGCAGGGCGAAAGGCAGCGGGGAGGGGAGCTGCGGGCACTCACCAGTTTCAGGGTTCGGATGCTCTCATGGATGGGTCTGGGCAGCCCCACCACTGTGTTCGTGTCACTAGAGGGAGGAAGGAGCCAGTGTGACACGGAGGCCAGAAACACCCCCTGCCCTGGCCGGCCAGCGGGGAGAGGGGCAGGGCAGGAGCCAGGCGGGCGCATCACCTTGCTAGCACGTCAGGCCGGCTCTGCCCGGGCCCACAGAGCTGGCGCCTCCCGGCCGGCTCGACTCACCTCCCCAGCGTGTAGCCGATGAACTTGCTGCGGCTGGACTCCAGGAACATCTCAATGTCCTTCTCCCTGGGGGAGGAGCCGTTAGCAGGCGGGCAGGCCCAGGCCGCCGCCCTCCGAGTGAGACCGGAGCCAGCAGAGCCCCCCAGCGGGTCCCACCCCCAGGCAAGCTCAGACAGCAGCACCACGGCTAAAGGTGCCGCCCTCACAGTCCCAGCAGCTCCCGCCAGGACCCTCCCCCCCCCATCACAGCCCCAGGGCAGCCTGCACCCCAAGCCCCTCATCCCCAGCCATAGCCCTGCCCCACACTCTCTGCCCTAGCCCAGTGTCCCTCACATCCTCAGCCTCACCCCAGAGCCTGCCCCTCCCCCTACCCTCCAGCCCGGAGCCCCCTCAGCCCGTCACCTCCACAGTGGTGACAAACCCACGCTGCACGCCAGGGGGATCGCTGGCCACAGCCCACGTCAATACCCCGGGGCCCAACCGTGGGGCGGCTGCTGGACAGCCGGTTCCCTGCACGGGGCCGGGCTCCTCAGGCACAGCGACCCCAGGGGCCCGACCCCTCGCAGACACTCACCTGACCTTGGGGGCCCAGGGCAGCCCCTTTGGGCAGGTGAGTCTGTCGGTGGGCGGGTGCTGGACAGGGGGCGGCATCACCTCGTCTCGCTCCAGCGGGAAGGGCTCCCCCTCCAGGCTGTTGTCATCGTCGTTCTCCTCCTCGTCCTCCCGCGCGTCGTCCGCTTTGTACGGGTCCCGCTCATTGAAGGCGTCCAGGTTGTCTTGCTTGATCAGCGCCTGGCGCCCCGGGAGAAGGCGGCTGAGCCCGGGGCGCTCGCAGGACTCCCCAGCATGCCTTGTGCAAGGAGCTGGCTGCCCTGCGCAACCCTCCATCTCCCTGGCCCCTTAGGGCAGGGGCCACCAGGCAGTCGGGATCCTGGCTGGTTTGGCCAAGAGGCTCAAAGGCAGAGCTTCCCCTGCCCCTCCCGCACTGCTGCGCATCTCCGGCCCTTTGCCTTGTAGCTCTCCCCCCCACCTCCCCCAGCTTGCTGGGCAGGGCAGGGCAGGGCAGGGCGAGGAGGACGCCCACCTTGGAGTCTATCTCCACAGAACAGAGGGGGCACAGCAGGGCTTGCGACGGAGTTTGCTGGCTGCTTTGGGGAGTGGGGCAGGGCCAGGGCGGGGGTAAGCCGCCTTAGCCCCACTGCACCCCCTGGGGTAAGCGGTGTCCAGCTGAGCCTGCACCCTGAACCCCTGCCCCAGCCCTGAACCCCTCCTGCACCCCACCCCCTGCCCCGAACC